AAAAAAAAAAAAAAAAAAAAAAAAAAAAAAAAGGCAAGTCATGAACTGGGAGAGAAAAATTTTTTACATAAATCTCACCAAGACTTGTTTCCCGATGATGTAAGAAACTCCTACAAGAGCAACCCAACAGGCCAAACACAGTATTTTAAGTGGACAAAAAACTGAACATAAACTTCACAACAGAAGGCATCCGAAGGCCAACACACACGAGAGGATGGTCATGGGGAAACCCACATTTGAAAAGCAGTGAGACGCCACCACACACACGTTAGAATGGCAAAGACTAAAGAGCCCAACGGCCCCAGCGGTGGCTGGCACCGTGTGGAGACCCCAGAACTCATGAATTGGTGGTGGGATCGCCGAACGGGACACCCATTTTGGAAAACAGTACATACATTTAACCACACTACACAGCAGCTCCACTCTTAGGTAGGTACCCAAGAGCTATAAAAACATGTCCACAAAAAGACTTGTACACAAATGTTCATAGCAGCTTTATTCAAATAGCAAAAAACTGGAGACAGACAATCGGATAAACAAATTGCAGCATTTCCACATGATGTGCTACTCAGAAGCAAAGAGCATGGCTGAATCTCACCAACATCAGCAGGGCCAAGAATGCCACAGAGATGACGGAGTCGCGTGCTTCTGTTTACAGGAAACTCTACAAAGTGAGCTGAAAGGCCGGGTGCGGTGGGTCACGCCTGTTATCCCAGCACTTCGTGAGGCCAAGGTGGGCAGATCACAAGGTCAGGAGTTTGAGAGCAGCCTGGCCAACATAGTGAAACGCCATCTCTACTAAAAATACAAAAATTAGCCAGGCGTGGTGGTGCACACCTGTAGTCCCAGCTACTCAAGAGGCTAAGGCAGGAGAATCACTTGAACCCAGGAGTCAGAGGTTGCAATGAGCCAAGATCACACCACTGCACCCCAGCCTGGGAGACAGAGCAAAACTCCGTCTTGGGGCGGGGGGGGGGGGGGGGGGGGAGTGACCTGAAGTCAGAGCAGAGCAACAGCTGGCAGGAATACCATATGGGAGGGGCATGGGAGCTTTGGGGCAGTGGAAAGCGCTCCATCTTGACCGTGGAGGAGATGACACAGGGCAAACATCACCAACATTCCTCAATCTGCAACCTGTCCACTCAAAACAGATTCACTGGCCGCGCATGGTGGCTCACGCCTGTAATCCCAGCACTTGGAGAGGCCAAGGCAGGCGGATCACCTGAAGTTAGGAGTTCAAGACCAGCCTGGCCAACATGGTGAAACCCTGTCTCTACTAAAAAATACAAAAATACAGGTGGCGGGTACCTGTAATCCCAGCTACTCGGGAGGCTGAGGCCGGGAGAATTTCTTGAACCTGGGAGACAGAGGTTGCAGTGAGCCGAGATTATGCCACTGCACTCCAGCCTGGGTGACAGAGCAAGCCTCCATCTCAAAAAAAGAAAAAAAAGATGAATATTTATGATTCATCTGATTTAGAGTTTGGATTTTTATGAGTAAATGTTGTAAAATAATGTAATCCTCTACTCCAAGAAATTAAAAAGATGCTCAACAGAAATAGATGATTTACTTAAAACAACAAACCGGTCCGAGGCAGCGACTCTCACTCCACTCAGCAGAGGGAGGCCATGTTTGAGAGCACCCAGGCATACACAGTCCTGACGCTGTTTCCGGTGAATCTGGGGACACCTGGAGAACCCTCTCCTGCTCCTGGCACTCTTTGGCTCGGCTGGCCTGGGCTATGCCATGGAGGCTCACGTGGGGCCTTTCTGGAGACAGGAGTCCTTTGGACACAGAGCCACTTCCGTGGCCTGGGGAGCCAGCAGAGCCACGTGGTGCCAGCCTGACCCTACTGCTCAAGGTGGGAAACAAGCCCGGCACTTGTTAGACATGCAGTGTCTGAAGCCCACTCAGGATCCTCCGAGGCAGGGGGATCTCAACAGAACCCCTGGGGTTCGCTGTAAAGGGCAAGCCTGGCCACAGTGGCCTGAATCCCAGGCCTACTCTGTGGCCTCGGAGGCGCGACTGTCTACCGACTCTGGCAACTCCACTGTGCACAGTGGCTCGGCGCAGCCCACGGGAAGGCACTGCGCCGGGAAGGCCCCACTCACCTTGGCCCAGGCCAGCTTCTCCTGGACAGCGGCGTTGCCAGGCTCCACGTGGCGTGCGAACTTGAGGTTGTTGATGGTGTACTCATGGCCGCAGTAGACTCTCTGAGGAGAGAGGAGACAGGTGAGCTCGGAAGTCCTTAGGGATGGGACAAGATGCCCGGGGGTGTGTCCGGTGAGTGGGCGCCAGGAGGGAAACCCTTTGTCTCCTGCCAGGCAGGCTGGGTGAGGCCCCCACACCCCAGCCCGCAGGGAGGCACTGCCTACTGTGTCCGGGGGGAGCCGGCCCAGAACCTCCAGCAGGGCTTTGCACATCTCATCCGCAGTCCCTTCATAGAACTTCCCACAGCCAGCCACAAACAAGGTGTCACCTGGAAACAAGAACAGCCACGAGGTGGGGGCCACTCGAGGCCAGTGGCTGGGATTCAGGAGGGGCCAGGAGCAGGGTGACACTCACCGGCAAGGCCCAGGCCCCGAGCCCTGGCTGCCCTCTGGCCCCGGCTGCCCCGACTCCCACAGGCTCGCTCCACTCAGAGCCCACATTCCAGCTCCCACACCTCCTTCCAAGCCTCAGCTGACAGCGCTTACCACCTGATGACCACGCAACTGGCCATGCAGACCTGAAACCCAAGTCACTCTTCCCTCACTGCTCCTAGTCCCACCAGTGGTGGCTGTGAGATGCTCACAAACCCAGACCTCCCCCACACACCCAGCAGCCCCTCTGAGGCTCCTGCCTGGCCCCCATCTTCCCTTGACCCCAGCAGCCAGTGCCACCCTGTGACCAAGGTCTCACTGCCCTGCCTGAGCTGACCGAGACCACCTCTCACCCACTGCAGGGGACGCAGCCCACAATGCTGGGCACCTCAGGTGCACCCCACCCTCAAGCACCCAGGCTCCTTCCTGCCTTAGCCTCAGGACCGTGTCCCATCCCAGCCTCTGCCCTCCTCGTGCTGCTTCACGGCCATCCTCAGCTCACTGACCCACTCAGCCACTGGCCTCAGAAGCAGGACTGTCCCCCTAAGAGGAGTGTGCTCGGCACCCAGCATAGCAGAGGCTGCCCCACTTCTCATCACCCAGGGCAGAGCAACATGCAGTGGTGCTGGGCACAGGCCAAGGCCACGAGTACCCCTGGGCCCTCCTGGGCACGAGAGATGGGACAGGATGGTAGGACAGGACCTGTTCCCCTGAAGGGCCCCAGACCTCATGTCTGAGGACAGGCAAGAGGCCATGGAGACTCCAGAGGTAAGGAAAGGCAGAGCAGGCAGGAGGCGACTTTGGGGCCTGGGGCTCCTGCTCCATGGAGCTGTGCCACCTCCCCTCGCCAGTTGCCAAGTGAAACCCCACACTGTGAGGCCAGTTGGGGGACAGGCACGTGAGGCAGCCCCCACCTCCAGCAGCCTCCACAGGGCCTTCCCACACAGGCCACAGCCATGGAGGGGCTGGCCTACAATGGGGCTGTCCCCCAGCCATATGACCTCCAGAGGCGGCTCCCACAGGTTTGTGACGACTCCAGGAGGCAGGCAGTGCCCCTAGACTGGCACAGGTCCCCTAATCCACACTATGGCACTGAGGAACACAGGGGCTCCAGGGCTGAGCCCCCCTCGCCCTGCGGGAAGAAACTGACTCTGTTCCCGTGAAACCCGCCAGGACCCCAGCTGCCTCCAGCAGTCTCTGCCAGCACAGCCCTTGCTGCAGGCGGAACGGCCTTCCAGACCACGATCCAAACCCACTGTGGGAGGAAACAGAGCAGCCCCGCCATGAGGCTCCCCAACTCCTGGATGTGTCTGAGGCTGAGCCCCAGGCTCCGCCACCCCCCCACCTGTGAGCCCCTCACACCAGGGCAACAGAGAAGGCCATGAAGCTGCCCCCGTGAGCCTGCCTGGCAGGAGACAAAGGGTCTTCACAAAGAACCCCTGTCCCCACCCCCACCTCAACACGCACCTGTGAACACGGCTGGAGGCTGCGAGCCACCGGGTTTGGTCACAAAGTAACAGATGTGTCCTGAAGTATGGCACGGTGTCGACAGGCATTTGACGTTGAGAGACCCCACCTTAAACAAAGCAGGTGACCACGTGTGCTCCCAGACACCCTAGAGAGCGTCTCCCGGGGTCACCGTGCAGCCTGGGCCCTCCTCAGCTCCAGAGGATATGCCCACAAAGGTGGGGCAGGCGCTCCCAGTCACGGGGCTGTGGAACTCACTCACTCCATGGGTGCACCCAAGTGCGGGGGCCCCCCCACCGGAACCTGAGCACTTGGGTATAAAAAGCCAAGCGGCTTGTTTTGTTTTCTCCTTCAAAACTGGGCCGAATCCACAGCCAGCATGTCGCGAAAGATGGCTTTCCTTTCCACGCTGGGCCTTTTGTTTCCCCTATCCCCATCTGTCCCCCACCCTCCCGCTAAGCCCGAGTCTAGCACCGAGACCCCGCCCACATGGCCCACTCCCCAGGGTCACGGAGCCCTGCTTCCCAGCCCCACACACAGCCATGTTCTGCACACTCCTCTTCTTGTGCCAAGACAAAGAACACTGTCCATACTGCCACAGAGGACCGCTGAGAGCCCTCCTGGGTCACTGGGGTAAGGGAGCAGAGAGGACGTAGGGAGGCTTCCCTGCTCCTGGCAGGGCCGTGCTGGAGCACCGCCACCGCCAGAGCTCACTGCTCACCTGCAGTGTGGACAGGTGAGTGACCTTGTGAGTGAGGGCCCCGATACGGTCGTCACCGCCGTACACCTTCAGCCCCGGTTCCAGCTTCACCAGTTTCTCATTCCCGCCAGCATGGTCCCTGGAAGTCAAACAGTAGACCTGGGTTGCCTGCTGCTCTTAAACCCTGGTCAAACAGGATTCCTATCTTACACTGGACGTTTCTCAAAGAAACGTACATCTTGCTACCCAGAAAATTTGTTTCTTGTCCATCACTGGATCTGCTGCCCAGATACCCGCTCCCAGGCGAGGCTCCCTGCGGCCCTGCCTGTGGCTGTGTTTGGAGCCGAGGAGGCAAATCACAGACACCTGGATGATCCCGTGGCCGGGGTTTTGAGCGTGGGGGTGTGGGGTTATCACCTGGACGTCTTCAAGAAGAACCACCTGGCTCCTACCCTGAGTCCTCGTGCAATAGATCTGAGGAGTGGCCTGGGGTGGGATTTTTGAAAGCCCCCAGGTGATTCTCATGTGCAGCCCAGTTTGGGAGCCACCCCAATGGCAGAAAATCAAACTATTCATCGTGGGAATCGCCTGCGGTGTGTCTGGGATGAGTGGCTGGCCCTAAAGGTGGTCTGCCTGCAGGGGAGGCCAGACTGGGCCAGCTCCAGGCCTCCTGACGCTCACCGGGTGGAGGAGCCTCCTTCGAGCCCAGGTTTCCCCAGGGGAGCCTGCCTGACCTGCATTTCAGAAAGGGGCAATCGAAGGGGCCCTTCCCAGGCCTCACCTAGGCTAGAATCCCTCATGTAGGCTGCAGAGCCCTGATGTGGGGTGGGGGCCATGAGGATCCTGCACCTGCCAGCCGGGCTTCATTTCAAGGGTGAGGCCAAAGCTCTCCCAGCAGCAGGGAGCATTTGGCTTGGCCTCACTCCACGTCCCCTAGAGACTCCTTCGTGTGCCTCCCAAGGAAACTCCAGCAACCACACCAGAAACGGCCTGCCTTAGCGCCACTGGGCCGCAAGATAACAGGGTGGAGTGGTGGCCACTGCCCTCTGCCCCTCCTGTCCTTCAGGAGGGCGTGGCACACAGCCTCGGTCCGCCCATCGCCGCCCACCACAGATAAGCAAACCCCATCCCGCTGAAGCTAGAGCCTGGCTTAGGACTTCCTGCTCCGGCATGAACGTCAGAGGGGCCTGGTGAACTCAAAAGCACTACGGTGTAAGAAAGGGATGTCCGCAGCGGAGGCCGGGAGAGGCAGTGAGCTGCAGCAAGTTGTGAGGTGCCAGGCAGCTACTCGGAGGCCACCACCAGGATTCCCAGGAGGAAGCATGCTGGCAGCAGGGGCCTCACACGACAGGCGGGCAAATGTGCTGAGAGACAGCAGCTCAGCCACACAGGCCAAGGGCCAGGGAGGCTGCAGGCACCGCCCCTCGTGCCCAGGTCCCTGCATGGACACCTCCGATGATCCTGCAGAGGCTCTCGGGGCCCAACTCACAGAGCCTGAAACTCTCCAGGCCTCCGTGCAGCTGCGTGTAAACCGTGACGCGTCTATCAAACCCTGGCCAAGCCACCAGCACAGCACTCCCACCACTGAGGACAGGACACTCATTTCACCCGGAGACAGAGGCTGGGGCAGCCACAGCTTGGAGGCCCTAGGACAGTGCCAGACAGGTCTTGGCTCAAGAGAAAGGTGCTGGCTGCTCTTGGGCGCTTGCTTGGCAAACAGAAGTGAGAGCCAAATAAACACTTTCCTAGCTTTGAAGAGCCTCAAACATTTTCAAAAGCCGAACAAGGGCCTTGAGCTGGCAATGCCAGCCCTGGAACCCGACATGGTGCTTTATTCATCCTTCAGTTTTTGAGGATTTAAAAAACCCCACCTCTTCAGATACAGCTTTTTTTTTTTTTTTTTTAAGAAATAAAAAAAAAAATAGCCTCCAGGAAGAGTCTCGCTCTGTCACCCAGGCTGGAGTGCAATGGCGCGATCTCGGCTCACTGCAACCTCCACCTCCAGGATTCAAGTGATTCTCCTACCTCAGCCTCCTGAGTAGCTGAGATTATAGGCGTGTGCCACCACGCCCAGCTAATTTTTGTATTTTTAGCAGAGACAGGGTTTCACCATGTTGGCCAGGCGGGTCCTGACCTCAAGTGATCTGCCCACCTCAGCCTCCCAAAGTGCTGGGATTATAATCCCATGTAGCCACGGTGCCTAGCCGGCTGCTTTAAAAAACAAACACTCACCCCTAGACTCATTTACTCACTGACATTGAGGCCAACGTGCCGGGGCACAAGCCAGGGTGGCCCCAGAGACAGCAGGGGCTTGAGGCCTGAGGGCAAGGCTGCGGCCTCTCCCCTCACTCCACAGGCCACGGGGCCTCAGAATCACTGAAGCACCACACCTGCCACTCAGGGGCCATGGTCTTTCTCAGAAACCTGTTGAGGGTCTGTCCTCACAAAGCAGACGCAGCTATGGGGGAAGACAGGCCTCAATGTCCCTGAACCCACCAGGGCAAGAAGTGAGCCTGGTCCCGCACCCCCAGGAGACACTCAGGCCCTGTGGCACCGGCACTTACCAGTGGTGATGGGTGGTCAGCACCGTGGTCAGCTTCACCCCGTGCTTTTTCGCCTCCTCCACCACCTGCAGCAACACCGGGGCAGGACAAAAGCCCATCACGTTCCCAGGCCTGGCTTGCTGGCCTCCACAGTGGGGTGCCCAGAGGAACCCAGGATGCAGGGGAGGGGCCGCTGCTGTGGCCCGTCCTGACCCTGCCAGCTCGTCCTGCTCCAGGAGAGCAGGTGAAAGCAGCTTCTTCCTGCTCAGCCTGGCACTCTCAGAACCACCCACTACTGCTCCAAGCCCCTCCAGCTATGAGGGCATCACCCCCAGAGGCAGCACTGAGGGACAGAAAGCCTCCAGGAAGTCACATGCCCGGGATTTAACAACACAGCGTTTTCTGTGTCACTGCCTCTTGCCTCCACCCTTCTTGGTTAACAGTGGCTAGAAACTAGTTTTTCAGAAATGAAGTGACTGATTTCCATTTAGCTGAGGGAGAGCTGCAAGGACACTGCGGTTAGGAAGCCCCCTGGGGGTGAGGACTCCGAGCTGGGTGGTGAGGGCAAGGAGAGCCGGGCACAGCCATGCACACCTTCTGGGGCTGCACCGGGTCCACGATGGCAGCCTCCTTGGTCTCGTCGTCCATGACCAAGTACATGTAGTTGTCGGTCAGGGCAGGCAGCACCTCCACCTTCATGGTGCCCTCGTCCACAGTCAGACTCTTCCGCAAGTCTGTGTGGTGGAAAACTCCCAGCAGGGCTGGACCTGCAGACACAGCACAACTCAGCTGGTGTCTGTGCCAGGCCCTCCACGACAGCACGGACACACTGCAGTGCTTCCCAGCCTTTCTAGGTTCCTCTGAAAGGAAATACCCTGGCCAGATGCGGTGGTTCTTGCCGGGAATCCCAGCGCTTTAAGAGACTGAGGTGGAAGGACAGCTTGAGGGCAGGAGTTTGAGACCAGCCTGGGCAACATAGCAAGACCTGGTCTCTACAAATTTAAAAATTAGCCAGGTGTGGTGGCACATGCCTGTAGTCCCTGCTACCCCGGAGGCTGAGGCAAGAGGATCGCTTGAGCCTCGGAGTTTGAGGCTGCAGTGAGCTATGACTGTGCCAGTACACTCCAGCCTGGGTGACAGAGTAAGATCCTGTTCCTTAAAAAAGAACCAAAAGGAGTATCTTCGTCTGTGCCCAAAGAAAACACAGAAACTGACTCATGCTCATATTCATGGAAATCAACTGTTTGAGACTTATGATCTGTATTTTCTTTTTTGAGACCCCTGAAAGGATAGGATGGCCAGCTTGTGGCTGTGAAACAAACCGCTGTCTGGCATGACTCCTGCAACCTCTGGGGTATGCACACCCCGGACTCAGGGACAGAACGTGAAGAAAGGAATGCAGACTGGAGGTGCCCCAGGCTGGCCATCTGCCCTCCAGCTAGCTGTGCTGCCACCACTGACTAAACCAGCCCGAGTTCTATGCAGTTACTCACAGCCATTTTCAGCCTCCAGCCAGAGAGAACCAACACATGACAAGAGGCTGAGGCAGGAGAATTGCTTGAACCCGGGAGGTGGAGGTTGCAGTGAGCCAAGATTATTCCACTGTACTCCAGCCTGGGTGACAGAGGGAAACTCTGTCTCAAATAAAAAAAGAAAGAAAAAGAAACAAATACTTGCTCTTAAACAGCAGGAATCTGAGATGCAGATAATGCACAAAAATCAGCAGTTTTGTGGGAAGTAGAAAAGTTCCTTTTTAAAGCTGCCTCTCTTATTAAAGAATAAGCATGCTAATAACTTTATTACGCCCTCTCCTATGTGGCTGTTAGACACACCACGCTTACAGGCATGTAGTACATTCTATGTCCTTGTACTTTAACCAAGATATCTGTGCTGGATGTGCTCACAGGCCTGTCCCAGCTCTCCCTTGTTTTTACCTGTTTTAAGAAAAGTTTTAAGTTATTAGCCAATCAGGTTTTAGTTTAAATTGTGAGGTCTGACTCCAGCCAACGGAGATCACACACAGAAGTAAAGACGACCCCAAATGCGTAAGGGATAGATGTGTGTGTTTTCCTTTGTTCATTGTACTCTTGTGGCAAGATGGCTAGTGAGGATACCCTTCCTGCAGTCCAGGAAGTAAAAATTGCATTGCAGAAAGATCCTTTGTCTCAGTGCTGATTTTTCTTTCCAGCACCGAGCATCTATTTCCAAAATCCTTTGAGACGGAAAGCTGGCCACAACTGCCCCAGATTCCAGTGTGGAGGATACAAAATCACCATCCAACTGCCCTAAAGGACTCTGCCACAAGGGCCCAGGAGGTGGGAGGAGTGGGTGACCAAGGGACAAAAGTGTCTGCCAGCCAACAGAAATATTTTAGATTAGGTAAATGCAGAAGTATTTTAGCACTGAAACTCCTACTAAACCTAAAAATACATTGGGGCCCTGAATACCTTCAGTTCCACTTTATGGGGGGAAAACACAAAACATGAGAGAGGACAGTGGAATCCTGGGGCAGGTGCCAGGGCAAAGACTTCTCCCAAAGGGGATCCAGAATGGGCAGCACCCAACAATCGAGAGACACACACGTCTCCAGGGCTCATCTAAATGCGGAATCCAGCCTTATTTCTACAGCGAGGGAAACTGCCCAAACTCTAGTTTCAATCATTGCACAAAGACATCCAGTTACCCTTCTGACAGCCAGCTGGGCGTTTTCCAGGTCCTTCTTATGCACATTATACCTACGTTCCATATGAGCAGCTTCCTGTGATATTCCCCTTCCCCTTAGCCTCATTACCATCCCAACTCAAGGGGTAGAGCAAGCAGAGTGTGGGTGCTGGAGACTGCAGGTGGTGTGCAGAAGCATTGTGACAGGACACCCGGAGTGCTGGGGCATCCTCCTGCAAAGGAGCTCCATCTATACTAGCAGAACATTACAAACAAAAATACTGCCCATGCGCGGTGACTCACACCTGGAATCCCAGCACTTTGGGAGGCGGAGGCAGGCGGACCATTTGAGGTCAGGAGTTAGATACAGGCATGGCTAACATGGTGAAACCCTGTCTCTACTAAAAATACAAAAACTAGCAGGGTGTGTTGGCGGGTGCCTGTAGTCTCGGCTACTCAGGAGGCTGAGGCAGGAGAACTGCTTGAGCCAGGGAGGTGGAGGTTGCAGTGACCAGAGACTGGTGACTGCATTGCCCAGGTGAAGGAAACATTTCCAACTGGTGCTCAGCCTCCCCTGGGGACCACCACAGCCTCCTAAAGAAGCTGACAAGACATGGAAGCGCCTTTATTCTGAGAAAAGAACGCAGCTGGTGCTAGTACCAGCAGAAACCTTATTCCCTTTCCATATCACTCAGCCCAACACTGCCTGGAAAATGTTCCCGGCTCACTGTTTTGTAACTTTAATACTCTGTACAGACAGAGGTCAAGGACCTGCAGCCTAGGGGGTCTGGACCAAGTTCAGACACATGTTTAGTTTGGCCCACAAAAAAAGAAAAAAAAAAAAGGAGGTATGGTCTCAGTCTGTCTTCTAGGCTACGGTGCAATGGTGCGATCACGTGTTACTGCAGCTTCCACCTCCCAGATTTAAGCGATACTCCCGCCTCAGCCTCCAAAGTGACCGAGACTACGGTCGTGTGTCACCACATCCGGCTGATTTTATTTTTTGCAGAGATGAGAGCTCCCCATGTTGCCCAGGCTGGTCTGGAACTCCCGGACTCAAGCGATCCTACCGCCTGGGCCTCCCAAATTGCTGGAATGACAGGTGTGCGTCACTGCACTTCTTTAAGTCAGGGAGTTTCACAGCACCTAGCTTCCCTCGAACTGGGCGGCACCAGATACTGGCGCAGGGAGCTCCCTTCGAATGCGGCAAGCACGCCCTTCCGATGCCCACAGTCCCACTGGAACTCTCCGCCTGCGCCCTTATGAATGTCCCTAAAACTCTAATTCTGAGGACATCAAAATCCTTGCTCTTTCCTTAGCAATGGCGACATTCTACCCCCTGCGGACGCTTGACAGCTTTCGGCGAGATCTGGAAACTGCCAAGGACGCCTCCCCGCCTGCGCCTCCGCCCGCCCAGTGCCCTGCGCTGCGCACCCTCCAGGGGAGCCGGCCTGGCCCGGCCTCGCAGTCCCCTCGGGACGGATGACACGCCGGGTCCCCAGACAGCGAGGCTCCGGCGCCGGGCGGGCAGCTAGGCCCCCGCAGGCGGCGCCGCGAGAGCGCGGTCCTCGCAGCCAGGCAGCGGCTGCGGGGTGGGCCGGGCGTCCGGGGGCCGCGCCCAGACTCTCCACGCCGCCGGCCGGAGCAAGACGCGACGCCGTGGCTGCCTGAGAAGCGCGGCCGGCCCAGCCCGAGCGTGGAGGCCGCGGGGGACGCAGGCCCGGCCCTGCTTACCTAGCGCCTTCCGCACCCGCAGCCCCGAGCCCGCTCCGCGCTCGCCTCAGCGCCTGCGCCGCCTCCGCTCGAGCCGGGCAGCGCGGCCTCAGGCACCTGCGCAGCAGAAACCGCGTCAGCGACCGCCAACCGACGGCCCCGCGCCGTCCGCTCCCTGCCCCACAGGGCCCGCGCCCCACGGCCCGCCCCGCCCCGCCGCACCCACCCAGGCCTCGGCGGGTGCAGGCGGCTCCCAACGCGACGAGGCTCCGGCGGCCGAGCAGCCCGCGGCCCAGCACCATGACCGGAGCGGGGCTGGACGGCCGGGCGGCCCGGGGCCGCAAAACACCGGCGTCGGCGCGCCCCAGCCAATCAGCGTCCGCCTCGCGCCGCCCTCAGCCAATTAGCGTCCGCTTCTCACCGTCCGCCAGCCAATAAACGCGCTCGTGCTCAACCCGTTTTCTCCCCGCACCGAACGCCGCAGGCTACGGGACGGGACTGGGGCTGCGGCGGCGGCCAGAGCTGGGCCGGGAGAGCTGAGCCGCGAGCCTCCGCCTCTTTCCAGGCACCGCACAGCAGCTCCCTGGAGGCCGAGCGTCGCGCCACCCGGGCACCCTGCAGATCGCGAGGTGGAACGGGCAGTCGCTGGGGCGCGGGGGCGAGTGGGGAGAACAGCGTTCCGAAGCATTTGGTCCTCTCCGGCTTGCCGTAGGCATCAGCTGACTGGTCCAGCTCACGTGACTGCAGGGGCACTTGGTTGGAGTCATGGCGCCCTCCAGGCCACTGTCCCGCTTCTGGGAGTGGGGGAAGAACATCGTCTGCGTGGGGAGGAACTACGCGGACCACGTCAGGGAGATGCGCAGCGCGGTGTTGAGCGAGCCCGTGCTGTTCTTGAAACCGTCCACGGCCTACGTGCCCGAGGGCTCGCCCATTCTCATGCCCGCGTACAGCCGCAACCTGCACCACGAGCTGGAGCTGGGCGTGGTGATGGGCAAGCGCTGCCGCGCAGCCCCCGAGTCTGCGGCCATGGACTACGTGGGCGGCTATGCCTTGTGCCTGGATATGACCGCCCGGGACGTGCAGGACGAGTGCAAGAAGAAGGGGCTGCCCTGGACTCTGGCCAAAAGCTTCACGGCGTCCTGCCCGGTCAGCGCGTTCGTGCCCAAGGAGAAAATCCCTGACCCTCACAACCTGAAGCTCTGGCTCAAGGTCAACGGCGAGCTGAGACAGGAGGGTGAGACATCCTCCATGATTTTTTCCATCCCCTACATCATCAGTTATGTTTCTAAGATCATAACCTTGGAAGAAGGAGATATTATCTTGACTGGGACGCCAAAGGGAGTTGGACCTGTTAAAGAAAACGATGAGATCGAGGCTGGCATACACGGCCTGGTCAATATGAGATTTAAAGTGGAAAACCCAGAATACTGAGGTATTTCTTAAGTTTCACGAGAGAAGGGAACAAGACAAAAGCAAGCAACAGCTGTTAAATGTCACAATCTTTTAATAAGAAACCAATTATTTAAAAAATGATTAGATTGCCATGCCTCAATTCCTAGAAGATGGACGCTTCAAGAAAACGTGAAGTAGAACGAATGGGCCAGAAATTAACACAGCCAAAGTAAAGTATTTCTTCGGAAAAGATTTTATGAAACCAAATGTTAAAAAGTTTCTTTTTGCAAAAATTGGAGAAGACTTTTCAGTGGATTATCTATAGGATGATCAGTAGTTCAAGCCTTAAAAACTGCAGAGAAAACTGAAAGTTATTTTGCAGGTAACTTTCCAGTGTTTCCCAAAGTTTCTCAGACTTGGTAATCATCAGGAAGAATTTGTAAAAATAAAAATTTCCAAATTACTGGCCCATCCCAGATTCACTCAATCAATTTGATGGGATTAATCTCTGGTGAAGCAGTGTTTACAGAGCACTCTAAGTGATTCCTATCAGGGAAATGTGGAAAAACACTGCTGTACAGAATCAAGTTTATTTAAAATTTTACTTAGTAAGTGAACAGTTAATGAAGATTTCACCTATTAGCGTATCTACCCAGACCCACTGATTCTGAGTTCAAAAGATGATTTTGAAATTATTGTTGTCCAAATAAAGGTGCTGCCTTTTTTGTGGCTTACAAGTGTATTTTTTTCCCCCAGTAATGGTGAAGAGGGAGTATTTCCTCTTTATGGGACTTTAGACCTTAGTCTTTGACTTTTGGCCTTCTGAGCACTGTGCTGTATTAACAGAGTTAATCAGCAACTGTATCTCCCAATCGGAGATAAGGAGGCTTTGTGGAAGTTGAATAGCCTGGGACTGCTGCTTTTGCTCTTGCCTGCACCCTTCTCTGAAAAAGAGGTCTAGACAAGATGCACAGCATAGCTATCAATGCCTGGAGGAGTCCTCTGGGCTTCGGCAGGGGTTCTGTTGGCCCCTTGAAGAAAGCCTAGGACATCTAATTTAGTAATAATGGTCAACATTTATTGAACACAGTACTGTTAGGCATCATGTCAAGCAGTTTAGTCTGTATTTCTATGCGTTATGTAACCCTCAACCAAGCCGTAATGTTAGTATTATCACTACCATCCCCATTATTCAGATGAAGATCTAGAGCAAGCCTGGCTAAATCACTCAGCTTAGTGGCAGAGCCAAGATGGAACCCAGCTCTACTGACACCAGACCTGAAGTCTTGACCACAAAGTGGGCTGCATCTTGTAAGCAAATATATAAGAAGAATCAAACATTTATGTATGCTACAACCCCATGCTTAAATTATAATTTAGTATGAGGAAGTGCCATAATTTGATTCCTTTATTAAATATCATGCTATCTTAACTACTTTTATCTTTTACTAATCTTTCTTTTTTCATTGCTTGGCAATGCATGTAATTACAGAAGAGTCAAAAAATAGAGATTAGCAATTAGAACAAAACAAAAATTTCATCTACCCAGAGATAGCTGAAGTTAAGCACCGAGTGCAAGTTCTTCCAAATCTGTGGATATAATAGTAATTTTTTAAATAGAGTTTGCTCATATCATATAATTTTCGTAATTTGTTTTTTTTAAACCTAGTTTCATTCTTGTTGCCCAGGCTGGAGTGGGCATGATCTTGGCTCACTATAACCTCTGCCTCCTGGGTCCAAATCATTCTCCTGCCTCAGCCTCCCAAGTAGCTGGGATTATGGTCATGTGTCGCCTCACCCGGCAAATTTTGTATTTTTAGTGGAGATGGAGTTTCACCATGTTGGTCAGCTTGGTCTCAAACTCCTGACCTCAGGTGATCCACCCGCCTCAGCCTCCCAAAGTGCTGGGATTTCAGGCATGAGCCACCGTGCCTGACTGTACCATGCAATTTTCTAACTTGCTTATTCCACTGTACGTTGTTACCATCTTTTTCCTTGTTAGCTGACACATTTCTGTAGTATGATTTTGATGGACTGCGTGATTCGGAAGACAGGCCTCTATTTTTGGACCTTGAGATTGTCTTTTTTTTCTTTTTTTGTTCTTAGGTAATGCTGCTAAAGAGATTGTCTCTAATGATTTGCTAGTATCAGCACATGAGCTGTTACTTCCTTTGGCTAGGTTCCCAATAAGTGGAAGAGTTGGATCAAAGGGTGTGCCCATACTGAAAGTGTATTATTAGTCTAGCTAGCAGGTACAAGGTTCAGCTGAGATAGATCTACCAAGTTGACAGACTATTAAAGCCAAAGGTATAAAGTAGGAGCACTGTTCACATGCAGCCCTGATAGGTGGCACAAGCCAGTACCGAGTACTGTGCCCCTAGGGTCAGTGTTCACCACAGTGATAGAACAAGCTTTGTCACAAACATCAACATCAGCATTGCAGGTGTAGGCACACAAAACCCTTAGATACAAGAATCAAAAACAGAGACACCAAGTCCAACAATTCTTGATGTTGCTAAAATCATAATCCCAGCATTCAAAAGATACATTTTTCCACTTCTTATTTTGAATACATTTAAACCTATGAAAAAGCTGAAAGACTAATACAGTGAACTCCATATACCCTTTAATAGATTCAACAATTATTAACATTAACTATGTCCTCTGGTCCTGTGTCTCTCCCTCCCCCCACATGTGTGTATATATACACATGCACCTCTTTCTCTCTCTCTCTCTCTACACACACACACACACACACACACACAGCCTTATTTTGGAAGTGTGTTGGGATGGTAACTGCAGAAACACTGCCCTTTCAGCACAGATCTCCTAAGAATCAGGATATTCGCCTACATAGATATGAGACTGGCCAGGTGCGGTGGCTCACGCCTGTAATCCCAGCACTTTGGGAGGCCGAGGCGGATGAATCATGAGGTCAGGAGCTCAAGACCAGCCTGGCCAAGATGGTGAAACCCAGTATCTACTAAAAATATAAAAATTAGCCGGGCGTGATGGTGGGCGCCTGTAATCCCAGCTACTCTGGAGGCTAAGGCAGAGAACTGCTCGAACCCGGGAGGCAGAGGTTCCAGTGAGCCAAAATCATGCCACTGCATTCCAGCCTGGGTGACAGAGCGAGACTCTGTCAGAAAAAAAAGAGAACCTTATCACACTTAAGAAAATTCCAGCCAGGCGTGATGGTTCATGCCTGTAATCCCAGCACTTTGGGAGGCTGAGGCGGGTGGATCATCTGAGGTCGGGAGTTTGACCAACAAGGAGAAACCCCATCTCTACTAAAAAAAAAAAAAAAAAAAAAAAAGATTAGCAGGGCATGGTGGCACATGCCTGTAAATCCTAGCTACTCGGGAGGCTGAGGCAGGAGAATCACTTGAACCCGGGAGGCAGAGGTTGCAGTAAGCCAAGATTCCACCACTGCACTCCAGCCTGGGCAACAAGAGTGAAACTCCATCTAAAAAAATAATAATAATTCCACAATATATTAGTCTGCACAGACTATATGGCTTGACATCTGTTCTGTTGTGTTTTTAAAACGTTTATTGGGCTTTTATGAAAAATGAGTATTACACACCTGCTTAATATATTATGAACATATTTTCAGGTCAGTGAATATAGGTATACATAACCCTTTTTAATGGTGTATCTTGGATCATGTACCCCAGAAGCACATTCTTGTTCCCATGATTTGCTGAGGGAGAGCTCTCAGGAGAAGCGCAGTGAAGCAGAAAGGGCAGTGAGCAAACTCCAAGGAAGAAAGTGGTCTCCGAGCTGGACACCAGCTTTGGTCAGCCGGTGAACCCAAAGGGAAGCTCTAGAGCAAGGAGTGTGTTGGCACCGGAATATGCTTTCCCTGCCTCTTCCATAGCCGTGTCAGGTAATTTTCTGACCCTCATAGAAGCTGAGGGACTTCAGCAAGTGAAGAGTTCTAGGTGGGGCATCCCTTATAGGTTGCACAGGTTTCAGATGCTCTGCTATTAGAAACAATGTGGCCAGGCGCGGTAACTCACACCTGTAATCCCAGCACTCTGGGAGGCCAAGGTGTGTGGATCACAAGGTCAGAAGTTTGAGACCAGCCTGGCCAAGGTGAAACCCCATCTCTACTAAAAATACAAAAGTTAGCCAGGCATAGTGGTGTAGTCCCAGCTACTCAGGAGGCTGAGGTAGAATTGCTTGAACCCAGGAGGCAGAGGTTACAGTGAGCCGAGATCACACCATTTCAGTCTAGCCTGGGTAACAGAATGAGACTCCATTTCAAAAAAAAATAAAGAAAAAAGGAAATGATGCAAGGAGCATCTTCCATATACTCTACATCAAAGGTCCCCAACCTCCACGTCACCGACCACCACCAGCCTGTGGCCTGTTAGGAACCGGGCCGCAAAGCAGGAGGCAAGCGAGTATTACTGCCTGAGCTCTGCCTCCTGTAAGATCAGTGATGGCATTAGATTCTCATAGAAGCATGAACCCTATTGTAAATTATGCAGGTGAGGGACCTACGTTGCGCATTCCTTATAAGAATCTAATGCCTGGATCTGAGGTGGAACATTTCCATCCTGAAACCATCGCCCCCCTCTCCTCAATCTGTGGAAATACTGCTTTCCACAAAACCAGTCCTAGGTGCCGCAAAGGTTGGGGCCACTGCTCTACATCACTGGCACTTGTTTGTTTCCTTAGGGAATTCTTAGAAGTGAAACCAATGAAATGGTTTGCACTTTGAAATTTTGACAGTTTTTGCCAAATTGCAGAGGAAAAAAATACCATGTTGCATTTGACAAGAGTGTTTAGGAACACCTTCACTCGGACACTCTAGCCAATGCTGGGTATCATAGCTATAGTCATTTTAATTTGCTTTTCTTTCATAGGAAAGCTGACATATATATGTTTATATTCATTTTTTTTTTTTAACAAGACTACTTGGCACATCTTTGGTGTAACTGTTGGTACGGTATCTTTGTTTTCAAGATAGTTTTATATTACCTTTCAATACATTTACTTCAAATATGCTAAAACCTTCATTTAATTATTTTACTTTTTCTTAAAAATATAAGTGTAATTATATAGTAGGAAAAATATTCAAGTTATAAAAGCAGAATAGCTGTGCTCAGTCATGTGCACCTGTAATCCCAGCTCTTTGGGAGGCTAAGACGGGAGGATCACTTGAGCCCAGGTGTTTGAGACTGTACTGGACAATATAGTGAGACCTCGTCTCAGAAAACAAAAAAGCAGAATTCATACAACAAAAATATTAGTAAATATGAGGGCCAATAAAATTGCTGAACTTAGGCTGAGTACAGTGGCTCATGCCTGTAATCCCAACAATTTGGGAGCCTAAGGCAGGTGGATCACTTGAGCCCAGGAACTGAAGACCATCCTGGGCAAAATGGCAAGATCCCTGTCTCTACAAATTTTTGAAAAATTAACCTAAAATTAGGTGGCATCTCCTAAGCTCCTAGACACAGGGCTCAATGGAGGGGGCACCATAGGCACTGTTGCTGAACCAACAGTGGGAGCCAAGCCAGCGCCAGCCTTGGCATCCTTACTTCTCTCCTCTCCTGCCTGGCCCTCCACGGCTCTTCATCCTTCCTTCTCTGTCTACCCTCCCCATTCACCTTGCTTCACAACCCCCAACTTCTCCCCAAGGGAGGATGGAAGGCCTGTTCTGCACAACTAGGTCAAGTTGTTCATTACCTTGTTTGTTACCACAATTTGGATACTTAGGGGGTGAACCTGCATCCTTCCTCTGTGGCTGCACGTGGTAAATAAGCCAGATAAAGTATTACTGACAAGATAGTCTATGTCCCAACACCAGCCTTAGGAAACAGCTTCATATACTCACTTTTTCCTTTTCCTCAATCCTGTGGTGGATGATGCGTAGCCTTCTAAAGTACCAGGCCAAACCTCCCAGGCTGTGGGTCTACACTGACCTTAGCAGTGGGTCTTCACAATCTGGAGTCAGTGCCCTGAAGCAAGTGACTGTCACTGGCGTGGAGCTGAGCAGTCTACTTTGTGGCTGCTGCAAAGAAAATGGGAGATAAAATGGCAGCTGTCGTCCTCACGTCCTGAGTAGGTCCCCCTCAGAGTTCTGAGACTTGGGCACGCTCATGAAACTTCTGAAGCTGGTCTCCTCCCAGTTGATTCAGACTCAGTCATGTCAGCCCTGAGCCAGCAAGCCTCCGCAAGCACTGGGCAATCCAGTGTGTCACCAGAGAAGACCAGGGGCTAGAAAAGCTCCAGGTGCTCAAAGCAGTCACACAGAATTGCCCATAACTTTGGCTTTTCCCACCTGGTGCCGAGAGCCCCTTGCCCTCATCCTGTCAGCCACTACCCAGCTCTCAGAAGTTCATCTTTAGAGGTCCTACTCTTTTTCCAGGAAACCAAGACAAAGAATAAACTGGCTTAAGAAAATAAATAATTCAAAACTGTAGAAGACTAAATGTTTATTAATTCATGTAAACATTTTGCAACTTGGGAGGAGACAAGGCAAAGCCAGTAGGAGGCCTTCTAGGAAAGGGGGTCAGATGAGAGAGGCCTTCAGACTCGCCCCAGACCAGCTCCACCATAACAGTTTCTAGAAACAGGTTAGTCACATGTAAACAAAACATAATTTTCCCCATAATTTTCAAATTATTATTCTATTTTAAAGGGAGGTAAAACTCCTATACTTTTCCAGAGTTTAAAATGATAGACTATTTTAAACATGTTTTTATCCAGACAAGTTTCTGCTCGCCTCAGTGGGATCTGCAAGCTTGCATGACAGTACACTAATTTTCAATCCACTCCTTGCTCTGTGTGATACAACAAACTGCAGGGAGAAACAGAAAGAGACAAAAGTTTTAAAAATCCCCTTGTATATAAAGGTGAAAATCAATGATCACAAACAGAGAATTGCAATGAAAGTTTTGTTTAGAGATACTAATATAAACTTCCATTGAAGTTTTAAGATGACGGGAAGAGTCCCGGTCTCACAGTATGGTTGATAATTTACAGGTCTGGCTTCCGACTGATTTGGTAAAAATTTATGTCACTTTTCATGCTATTTCTCTCATATAGGAAAATTGGGATTAAAAATCTAATGCAGGGCTGGGCGTGGTGGCTCACGCCTATAATCCCAGCACTTTGGGAGGCCAAGGCAGGCGGATCGCTTGAGGCCAGAAGTTCAAGACCGGCCTGGCCAACAAAGTGAAACCCTGTCTCTAGTAAAAATATAAAAATTAGACAGGCGTGGTGGTGCACAACTGTGGTCCCAGCTACTCAAGGGCTGAGGCAGGAGGATTATTTGAGCCTGGGGAGGTTGAGACTGCAGTGAGCTGGGATCACATCACACACTCCAGCCTGGGTGACAGAGCAAGCAGAGCGACTCTGTCTCAAAAAATAAATAAATAGGCCGGGCGCGGTGGCTCAAGCCTGTAATCCCAGCACTTTGGGAGGCCGAGGCGGGTGGATCACGAGGTCAAGAGATCGAGACCATCCTGGTCAACATGGTGAAACCCCGTCTCTACCAAAAATACAAAAAATTAGCTGGGCATGGTGGTGCGTGCCTGTAATCCCAGCTACTCAGGAGGCTGAGGCAGGAGAATTGCCTGAACCCAGGAGGCGGAGGTTGCGGTGAGCCGAGATCGCGCCATTGCACTCCAGCCTGGGTAACAAGAGTGAAACTCCGTCTCAAAAAAAAAAATAAATAAATAAATAAATAAAGTCAAACATAGGAAAAAGGGCTTAATGTGTATTCAAACTACCAACTGTGATAGATTTCAAACTGTAGCAGGGACTCAATCTGTGAGATTACAGGAATATGATAATATAACTTACTAATAACAGTCTCGTTTTTTACAATTTATACAGCACTTTAACCAATATTTTATTTAATATAGAGTGGAAGGACATATCAACCACTTTAATTTCAAGACTGAGGAAAAACATGTACCAATATGATGGAAAATTGTGAAAGACTTTAAATGGGCACTAAGTGGATACCCTTTCAATGGAATGTTGTGGTGGTGGCATTTGGCTGGAACACCTTCAGAGCTGTCTGATTCTACAGGGCTGCACCTCCCATTGCACAGACTGAGCTGTTTTAGAACTAGGTTGTAGAAAGCTGATAGTGGCTGGCATGATCCTGCTCGTGGAATCCCCATGAAGCTTGTCTGAGTGAAGATGCATTGGCTCTACCCTGTAGAAGAGTCCAGTGGTGCATCTACAAGCAAACCCATTCAGCATTTTGCATTGCCTGCCTATGTATCTATCCTTCCAATTCCCCTTTGAATCTTTTCTCCCCCTACATGTTACTGATTCCTTCATTAATTAATGAGTTAAATCTTCAACATGTGTTATAGTATTTTTATATGAGTCAGGGTTTCTGGATTTTGGTTTTGGGTTTTACGTCTTTTTATTTGTAAAATACTGTGTTACCTAACACACCAAGCAGCTTGTCTGTAATTGTGAGTATTTGTGAAAGCCACCGGGAACATCTATTAAACACATTCTCTGGGAAAGTCCAGTATCCTTTGACTTGAGGGTCATTCATTGTTGTATTGAATCAAATTTAAAATCAAAACTCTTAAAGTTCCCATGAGCTTAAATTGATCAGATTCATTAACAAGTGGTGCCTCCTATCTAGAGGGAAAGCATACAGAGTTGGTCAAGGACTTGAGCTTGCTCTGACTTGTGACAGTCTCTAAGGGTCCATGCTAACCACTGAAGTGATGCAGCATCTTACTGCAACTTTTATTCCTTTGGCTGGTAATGAAGAGGCCTCAAGCCGAGGTCCTAGAAATATTGGTAAGGCCACTGAAGACTCCATGTCCGGAAATTATTCCTATGAGCTGGTGGCCATGGAAAATGGGAAAAGCTGCTTATCAGGCTGAGGTGGAGGACAGGCAGCATTCACAAATGCTCCTGTAGGGTGTCCATGAAATGAAAACTAATTTCATCATAATACTAATTCTCTCATCAGCACACGATGTTTTCTAGAGGCTCCATGATACCATTAGTCTGACACAATTGGAATGTGTGCTCTAGAATATTTAAAAAATTTTTCAGTATTAAGTTCCAATACAGCAAATATCAGTAGATATAACCCACACAAACAGGAGCACACTGACTTATGGGAGACTACAAGAGAAAAGAGTTGAGAAGCATGAAGTCAAACAATAAGGCTGGCTGAGTCCAGTCTCACCTGTGACCCAGAGCAAGTGGCAACACTTCTTGGTTCCACTTTTCTCATCTGCAACAGGGGAGTCTGTCTCACTGCACTTCTCCCCCTCTGACACCTTGAACACTAAGACTCTACGATCTTCCACACTGAAGTATTGTTAGTGCCTTGGGAGGCAGCTGTGGCCTTTCAGAGTTGGAGGATCATGGAATTTTGCAGGTTAGCAAAGTTAATTATCCTTTGCAGGGTCTCACAGGCTGAGGTGTGGTGGGATTAGGATTCAGACCAAATCTGTCTCCCCACCACAACACAAGCACTTACCTGTGCATCTTACACTGCCTCATTAAGTGAAGGGCAGCACCACAGGGTGAGTGGGAGTGGGGACAACCCAGTCTGACCTTTTAGGGTTGGGGGGGACAAGAAGGGGTCTCACTATGTTGCCCACGCTGGCCTCAAACTCCTGCGTTGAGGTGATCCTCCCACCTCAGCCTGCCAAGTAGCTGGGATTACAGGCATGCACTATTGCACCCAGCAGCTCTGATTTTAAAGTCCTTTGCCCTGCTTTGGATTTAACCTTAAAGGATATTTTCTTTGTTGGTCTATTTTCTCAGATGTCTTTGGCAACTCCTTTATATAATATGAAAAAAAACCCTGGCTATTTCCTTTGTTTTTAGGGTAACTGAATCCTTATGCACATCTGGAACTGGGCTTAGAAATCATAAATTCCTGAACTTATCTAGGTTTTTCTTATGGTTTGAATATATAGAATAGTATGGCACTATAAAATGCACTAACTTTTAAATAAATTTTGCTTCTTTCCAAGAGAAATTGCCACTTTAATGCTGTTTTCTGTTCATCTGTCATTGCAAGAAACTCGTTTACCTGGTTAAAAAAAAAGATGAGACAAATATATCTGAAGTTTACACAGACTATTCATTTTGACAATGACGTGAAACAAACTTTCTCATTAGCAATGAAATTTTATTTGCAGTAATTACAGCTCAATCGTTTGTTTTTGCATTTGGTAAGAGGCATTTTTTTTTTTTTTTTTTT